GTCCAAGTCACTGATGAAGACATTAAAGAGTATCGGTCCAAGGACCAAGGCCTGCAGGACCCCAATGCCCACACCCTTCCAGGTCGAAACCGACCCATCCACTACGACTCTCTGGGTGCGACCCTCTAGCCAATTCGCCACCCACCGGACTGTGTAGTCATCCAAGTCACAGCCTCTTAACTTGTTCACCAGTATGGGGTGGGATACCGTATCGAAGGCCTTCCTGAAGTCTAAGTATACGACATCCACCCCTCCTCCTGTGTCCAGGCGTTTCGTAACCTGGTCATAAAAAGAGACTAGATTAGTCAGGCACGATCTGCCTGCTATGAACCCGTGCTGGTTTCCCCTCAGCATAATTTGTCCTGCCGGGCTCTCACAAATGTGAGCCTTGATAATTTTTTCAAAGATTTTGCCGAGGATAGAGGTGAGACTGACTGGTCTATAGTTGCCCGGGTCCTCCTTCCTCCCCTTCTTGAAAATGGGGACCACGTTGGCCCTTTTCCAGTCCTCCGGGACTTGGCCCGTGCACCACAAGCGTTCAAATATTTCCGCCAGTGGCTCTGCAATGGTGTCGGCCAGTGCCTTCAGTACCCTCGGATGGAGCTCATCTGGGCCTGCCAACTGAAAGGGATCCAGTTCTTCCAAGGCATCTCTGTCCCATCTCCTGTGGCCACAGAGAATAGTTTATCTTCATCCTTTCTGTAATCACCCTTTGAGCATTTAAAGACTGTTAACAAATCCACCCACCCCCTCAGTCTTCTCCAGGCATAATATATCCACTGCTCTGTCACTTTGACATAGAAGAAAATCAAGTTGGTCAGGCATGGCTTGCTCTTCATAAATCCATGCTAGCTGTTTCTAATCACCTTGTTCTCTTTCAGGTACTTAAAAATGTACTATTTGATGATCTGTTCCATAATATTTCCCTTATTGAGGTCAGACTAACTACTTTGTCATTCTTCTGATTGTCCTTGTTCCCTTTTCCGGTCATCCAAAACCTGACCTGACCTGCATGAGTTCTCAAAGATGATAGCCAATAGGGCTGTGCGAGGCTTCAGTAGCCGATTCGATTAGGAGGAGATCCAGTCAGATTCGGGGGCCGAATCTCAAAATCGAATCCGAGACCCATTAAAAGGTCTGAATTGAATAGGAAACCTCTGAATTGATTTGGAAGCCTCCAAATCGATTTAGAGATTCAGGCAGTCCCTGCTTGCCAATGCAGGAAGCTGGACCCAGGCAATAGGGAACAGGGAGGCTGGAGGAGTGGGGAGGGGACCATGGGGGGTACTCCTGCCCAGCCCCAGCCCCTGCCAAATCCCCCAGTCCCCCTGAACACCCCACCAGCCGCAGCCCCCAGAGCTGCCCTCTCCATAGCTTCCCTGACCAGCCCCAGCATCCCAGCACTTTAAAAAAAAAAAAAAAACAACCCACACTCACCAGCAGCAGCGATTGGGGTCTCTGGGGGCTTGTGGCAGAGCCCCCCACCATACAGCAGGGGCAGCCAGGATCGGCCCCCCCACCTGGCACCCGCATGGCAGCTGTCACATCACGCAGGTGCAGCCTGGCTTAGCAGGATGCTGTGCGTTGTCCCAGAGCTGGGGCGGCTCCAGCAGTCAGCTGGAGCCTGGCAGCACTCAGCCCGAGCAGCCCCAGCTCCCAGACAGTGCACGAAGCCCTGCAGCACCCTGCTAAGCCACGTTGCACCCACATGATGCAACAGCTGTCGCATGGGTGCCAGGCCGGGGGGGGAGGGGGAGGGGAGTCCATCCCCGCTGCCCCGCATTGCACAGTGGGGCTCTACCATGAGCCCCCAGAGACCCTGATCACCACTGCTGCAGCCAGTGAGGGTGGGGCTTTTTTTTTTTCTTTTTTTTTTTTTTAAGTGCCGGGTTGCTGGAGCTGGGCAGGGCAGCCATGGGGGGTGGGGGAGTGGGTGGGTATGAGGCCCCACTCGCCACTGCCATGCCCCCGTTGCTGACATTGCTGCTGCTGTCTGTTTGATTCAGAGGAGATTCAGCCCAAATTGTGGCAGTGATTCGAATTAAAATCGAATCGCTGTCCCTCCTAATCGACCGAATCCGAAGCTAAATCGAATATTTGCTGCTCTCACAGGCCTAATAGCCGATGGCTCTGAAATTACTTCAGCCATCTCCTTCAGTACTATGGAGTGCATCCTGTTTGCTTCTGCTAACTTGAAAACATCTAGCTTCTTTAAGTAACCTGTTTTTACACAACTATAGGTTGCTTATCTCCTCCCCTATCTTTGCTGCCAACTGTACTTCTCATATGGTAGCTGACTTTATTTGTGAAAACCAAAGTAAAGGCATTAAATGCTTCAGCCTTCTCCAGGCCATCCAATAACAGATTACGTTTTGCATTCTGTAAGGAGCCGACATTTCTCTTCGGATTATCTTTCCTGCCTGCTTCTACAATCCTTTTCATTCCCTTTTACATCTCTTCCCAAATGCATCTCAAATTGTGTCTTGGCCTACCTGGTTTTCTCCCTACATGCCCATGCAATACTCTTATACACTTCCCTACAACTGCCCCATCTGCCTGGAGCAGGGGCAGAGTCCTCTCATTGGTGTTACACACCCTCCCCCTGCTATTCTGCCAACAGTTATCAGTTTAACTTTTTCCCAGCCGTTGCCTAATTAAGGCTTTGAGAAGGTTAAGAACAGTGACTGTAAGAGGGTTAAATCTATAGCTGCTGGCAGAGGAGGAGGGGGAGTGGTGCAGACAAGATTGCTCTGCCCAAGCTCCCTGAGATCAGAAGCATTCAACCCAGGATGGGTGCGTGCTGAGCAAAGCCCTCTGCCTCCATTCTGGTGCAGAAATCAATTTCCTTAAGACATGCATTCCAATTCTGAATCAGTACTTTTTGGGAATATGGTTTGTGCAGTATGCAAATAAATATAGTAATATAATCACATTTCCACTTCCTGTAGGATTCCTTTTTCAGTTTCAATTCACTGAAGAATTTTAGAGTTGATCTCCTGTGCACGTCCTGTTCAGTCATTTCATGGAGATACCTTGCTTCTGTGACCTTAATATGCCCTCCTCAAAGTACAGCGAGCTTTCCTGGACACTGTATTCACTCAGGCTCGCCTCCCAGGGGCTCCTGGCTGCCAATTCCCTGTGTGTGTTAGTCTGCTTTTCTGAAGTCCATCGTTTTTATACTTGTGCTCTCCTTTCCTTTGGATCCTGAATGTTATCATTTCTTGATCTCTTGCACCCAAATTGGCTTTCACCTTCACACCCAATTCCAAGGAAAAATAATCCAGTCAATATCTCTTTGTTTGTGAACAGCAACTAAAGAAGAGCTTCCTCCTGGTTTGCCTTTCTACCACCCATACCAAGAAGATATCTTCAGCACACTCCAGGAACTTGTTGGGCTGCCCATGCTGAAGTCAAGTACTGCCTGTATTGTATTACCCTCTCAGCAGATGTCATAATACTTAAAGTCTCCCTTGAGGACTAGATCCTGCTATTTGGAAGCTTGGATTAATTGTTTAAATAAAGTCTTGTCGAGCTCTTCCTCCTTGTTTGGTGGTGTGTAGCAGACATCCACTATGACATCCCCCTTGCTATTCTCCCTTTTGAACTTGACCCTAGAGACTTTCAGTCTATCTCCTGTTTTATACTGCACCTCAGGACCAGCATACGTATTTGTATGCCTAGAACAACCACCTCTTTTCCCCACTTCCTATCTTTCCTGAACAATTTAGCTGAATTTAGTTAAATAATTTTTAGTATATAGAGATAACTAATTAGGTGCACAAATACAATAACAAATGTACACATGCCAAAAGTTATCAGCAGTTATATTCGCTGTTCCTATTTTTATATAGCCTTTATGCTGCTGATTCACTTGTTCTTCTCAGCCTGGGCTCTGGATCATTAGATGTTTAGAGTACATGCTTGGCACCTGCAAGAAATAGGCCGCTAGCTGTGAAGCTGAATGGTCCCATCAATGACATCCATCAGTCTTTTGTAACTAACTTCTCATCTTCCACTGATATCTGTTATAAAGATTATAGTTTATGAGGGAAGACAGCCCATTTTTTCTACTTGTCGTATTCTTCTGTATAACATTTTCCTTGCTTGATTTATGTTAGAGACATAACTTCATGCAGATTAATCGCAAGAATAATGAACATGCATCTATATAAAGAATATTCATATCCCCTTGTTTTTTGTGTAAATGTAGAAGTTGATAGTCTAGTCTCTTAATGGCTTAGACATAAATTTAGAGAAAATCTACACCCTGTTATCTTTGTGGCTTTGAAAGGCTAGTCCAAAATAATTTGACAAAGGTTTTCATAAAAAATCATCCCTCCTTATTTTTGTCACAGTACAATTTTTCTGTGAGCTATTATCAATATTTAATATTTTCAGCCAGCACATAAGACTTTTTTGTTAACATTTGCAATGTTGATGAAATACTGAAATTTGGACCCTTAAACAATCTCTGCTTACTTGTATTGTAATAGTACCTAATGACCACAACTGAATCTGCAAACCTGAGTTGTGTGGTGAAACCTAAGTATATTACATGTTGAGTGCAAACAGCTGGAATTTGATCTAGAGGTGTAAGCTGTATTCCAAGGTGAATGGACAATGGTGGGCTGATATTAAATAACGTATTCAGTACAATCTACAATAACAATTGACAGGTATTGAGATGGGATTGAGAGGGATGACCAAGGAGTACCAGGAACCATTTTGAATGACCATACTATACCTATAAAGGGGTTACTACCAGTTTAGAAAATATCTGATTAACATTCTTGATTGTCTGTTCATGTAAATTTAGAAACATTGAACAGATTAGACCTATCACCAAGTGTGTATCAGTATAGCCAAGTGTAGTACTAGTCTAATTGTAGGTACATGTCCTTATGTCCCTGAAGGTTGATGTTAACGGAGTTTTAGATGCTAATTGTGGTTAGGATTAGAGGGTGACTGATTGTCTCTGTATGCTACTTATAGTCACTTTTTTTTTTTTTCCAGTTGTCTTAGATTATGAACAGTACTGCAAAAAAATAATTTGGACAAAACTAGATCATTTATACCAGGGGTGCTCAACCCCTGGCCCATGGGCCAGATCCAGCCCATGGCACTTTCTAGACTCACATGGAGCCCCAGACTCTGTGTGCTGGATCAGGTATCCAACCTTAGTTTGCAGGGTAGTACTGGGCCACAAGGCCTAGTCCCTTGCACCTCAGGGCCCAGTCCCAGTATAAGAGGCTGGGAGGAGGCAGTGACCCCTCCCACCCACCCCCAGGGCCCAGTGCCAGTGCATGAGGGTGGGAGGGGGCAGTGTCAGGTCCCTGAGGCACAATCCCAGTGGGAGTAGATGGTGCCAGGCCCTTGGAGCCCAATCCTGGTACATAGGGA